GAGCCCCAGTGATGAATTGCAGCCACTAAATGTGCTAATGTAGACAAGGCCTTGTTGGAAATACACCCCTAGCCTGTACAAACTTCATAGCCACAGTTCACCACACACCAGCCCTGTTGGAACCATTTTTTTTCTAGGAGTTAAGAGTAGGACTCCAAATTTGATCTGAAGCTGCTGGACTAAGGAAAAAGAGACAGATTTGATTGTATTCTTTGTTTAGCTCACATTTTTGTTTGCTTTTGCTGGCTGTCTCCTACACATAACAAACACTAGCCTGTTCATTTTGGATTATAATTTAAATGATCTGTGCCTGCAGATGGAAAGGGGGAGAGGGGAATGGTGTTTTCTATCACTGGTTCCCTTTTGTTAGCCCTTTGATTCCACATTTGTATTTGTTCCCAGCTGATTCTGGTTTCTTGATGGCAGTTCCCCACTACTGATGGGTTGGCCATTGGCCAGAGGTCAAATTGCCTAGCACCCTTTTCCAGCAAAAGGGGATACTCAGCCCATATTTACAGTGAGAAAGTTCATTTGACCTCCGGTTTGACAGCCAAAGCCCCTGCAAGAGGCCATACCCAAGGAAATAATGGCTCAACCCTTTAGTAAGTGGGGAGGGGCCAAAAAGAAATCAGATCAAAAAGTTCCACATGACCAGAGACAAGTCCCCTAGATTACATGTTATTTACTTCTCAGATCAGAGACACTTCCAAAACTGATAAGATCTAGAGTAATGAAACTTTTCTGGCACTTCTACAAGGATTGAATACAAAATTCAATTTGAGACTCACTCTGAAAATCTAGAATGAAAAGAAGATTAATTTTTCTTAATGCAGTGTCAGTTTGGGGATTTGAACATTACAGTTGTAAATATGGATGATATATTCCATCACAATAATCCAGCATTAACTCTCTATACATTGTGAGGTATGTCATAATGACAGATAATGCTGTCTCTTTTGGCCCAAGAGCTTAGGCTACATCTGGAAGGTCTTGCAACTTGTTTCCATTTGAAAAAAATTATTATATGAGTCAAGTATTTATTTGGTTCAATGCTGTTTATTTACAAAGAATGTACACAGAGTCCTGTTTCCCCAAACACAGTAGGACAGGATGCAATTTCCTTGCTCACTGTTTACAAGCCTCTTTCCAGAAAGCACTCTGCCCAAAGAAGCTTTCTCTCTTGGCTTCCTCTCAGGGTCACATTCACCCAGAGCTTCTCTGGCTTTCTTCTCACTTTTCTGGGTGATAACTTCTGACATACACAAGCATACTCAACTTCAATCTAATCAATGCCCCAGCCCTTGTGTTTGCAATTAGTTCCCAAGTACTCCCCTCTTATTCTCCCTGAGTTAATTCTTAGGCCTTCCATATCACCAGTGCTTTGGGTAGTGGCTTTTATTTTTTCAGCTATCTTAATCAATAAAGGAACTTAACTGCTTCTCCAAGGTATCTGATTGCCCATAGATAAAAGGCACATTTGCTGTCAGCTGCCAACAACCTGCTCATAAAAATTTTTACAGTTTAACTGGAAATTCTTAGAGAATGAAATAGATTCTAAAAATTTAAAATCTGGGTCTGGGTCTACCTGTCAGAATTCACGGGAGTGATATTGAAAGCTTTTTGGAAAAAAAAATGTTGAGAGTAGCCTTGGGACTGAGCCCTGAGATTTTTTTCATAGCGTGGTTTGTAGACCAATTCTCTTCACATTCATAATCACACAACATCTATGTGGCACTTACAACAATTACTTACATGGCAGAGTAATATTAGTGAAGTATTTAATTTATACTTAGTTGTCTTTTATACAATTTAGCACGTGGGAAAAAAGGAGGAGCCAGCACCATGTAACAGCCAGCAGACACAACAAGGGTGCCACAAACCGATAGTAGACCATAGCAAGAGAACCGATGATATAGGGAGAGCCTAATATTTTGTTGAAAGACCTAGATCTGGTATTAACAGAGGTTAGAGTTTTAGGCCTGGTCTACACTATGAGTTTAATTCGAATTTAGCAGCGTTAAATTGAATTAACCCTGCACCCGTCCACACAATGAAGCCATTTATTTCGAAATAAAGGGCTCTTAAAATTGATTTCTGTACTCCTCCCCGATGAGCAGAGTAGTGCCAAACGATATTGTCATTTCGAATTAGGGTTAGTGTGGCCGCAATTCAATGGTATTGGCCTCCAGGAGCTATCCCACAGTGCACCATTGTGACCGCTCTGGACAACAATCTGAACTCGGATGCACTGACCAGGTAGACAGGAAAAGCCCCGTGAACATTTGAATTTCATTTCCTGTTTGCCCAGCACAGGAGAGCATAGGTGACCACAGAGAGCTCATCAGCACAGATAACCATGCAGGCCGATAATCGAAAAAGAGCACCAGCATGGACCGTACGGGAGGTACTGGATCTGATCGCTATATGGGGAGAGGATTCAGTGCTAGCAGAACTTCATTCGAAAAGAAAAAATGCCAAAACTTTTGAAAAAATATTCAAGGGCATGATGGAGAGAGGCTACAATAGGGACTCAGAGCAGTGCCGCGTGAAAGTCAAGGAGCTCAGACAAGCCTATCAGAAAACAAAGGAGGCAAACGGTCGCTCTGGGTCAGAGCCGCAGACATGCCGCTTCTACGCTGAGCTGCATGCAATTCTAGGGGGGGCGGCCACCACTACCCCACCTCTGACCGTAGATTCCGAGGCGGGGGTAATCTCATCAGCCACACCTGAGGATTCTGCAGACAGTGAAGAGGAGGAGGACGAGGAGCTTGCAGAGAGCACACAGCACTCCATTCTCCCCAACAGCCAGGATCTTTTTCTCAGCCTGACTGAAGTACCCTCCCAAGCCAGTACCCAAGACCATGACCCCATGGAAGGGACCTCAGGTGAGTTTACCTTTTAAAATATAAAACATGATTTAAAAGCAAGCGTTTTTTAACGATTAATTTGCCCTGAGGACTTGGGATGCATTCGTGGCCAGTGCAGCTACTGGAAAAGTCTGTTAACGTGTCTGGGGATGGAGCGGAAATCCTCCAGGGACATCTCCATGAAGCTCTCCTGGAGGTACTCCAAAAGCCTTTGCAGAAGGTTTCTGGGCAGTGCAGCCTTATTCCGTCCTCCATGGTAGGACACTTGACCACGCCATGTTAGTAGCAAGTAATCTGGTATCATTGCATGACAAAGCCTGGCAGCGTATGGTCCCTGTGTTTGCTGGCATTCAAGCAACATCCGTTCTTTATCTTGCTGTGTAATCCTCAGGAGAGTGATATCGCTCATGGTAACCTGGTTGAAATACGGGACCCAGCAGACCCGAAGCAAACCCCCAATAACCACAGAGTCTAGTAAGGTACGAAGGCACCTCGCCAGGTTTATTGCAACCTCAGACACAGTTGCAGTTCCCCGTAGATTACTTAGTCTACCGGGCATACTACGAGAAAGTGCCTCTTGGCAATGGACTGAGCTCAGTCAGTGGCAGGACTTTCCACTGCCCCCTCGGCTGGACAAAGACACCACCCCAGGGATATATTCTTATACACAGGTACAAACAAGATACACATCACTCCTGACGTATTGAGGTGCAACCCCTCTACGTAGCAAGGTGCCACCTCTCACCTTGTACATGTTGGTTCGATCAAAACAACTCTATCCATCATTTTACCCTTTTGCCCCTGTCATTGGGATGGTTCGGCCTGTTCCATGTTATCTGTGGAACGTTCCAGTATAGTGTATGTTCTGATACCTGGTGTCCAGTACCTTTTAGGTATGTCTCTTTTTGCAGCATCAGCCCTTTCCTTGCCAGCTTCTGTGAGCAGGGCCTGCCTCTGGCTCACAGCTTAACTTTGCTTTATGTTAGCAAAGTCTTGACCATTTCTTTAGTTCGGGCCTTTAGGCCTCATACCGGGCCTCTGATACCAAGGTTTATATCTCAGGGCCTTCTCTTCCTACATTCCCCCACTTTTTGTCTTTTTAAGGGGAGGATGTTTACCCATCGTCCCGGAAAAGCATAATGCATGGACTAAAGATAACCCAGTGGGCTAAACACTGTTATGTGGTTATCTTATTTTACCATCCATACACCCAGGCCCCATCTGTCTTTTTAGTCTGCACATTCCCACATACGACTGATAGGCAGATTTTATTATTCAATTATTTTTTAGTCCCTTATGGTGGGCCTGGGAATGTTAGGGACCATGACTGAGGAATGTAGTGTTATGATTGAGCCTTAGAGGCACTCCCAAATAATTAATATATATGAATTATGTGGATATAGCATATATATTTGTAGTGTGTATGGGCATATATGTATAGTATGTATGTATACATATGACACCACCTTATATTCAAGCATAACCATGTTTTTCCAGTCTGGCGTTGTACTCTGGTCCTTTTACTTTGGTAACACAGATAGAAACACACTGCTATTAGGGCAATTCCAGTTATCACCTGTCTCATTATTAGTAGTAGGCTGAGTGTTTTGAAATACTGGATAGGGATTGTGATGGTGTGTCCCACAGTGCTATGTATATGAGAAGAAAAACAGAAATTTGGAGTAGTGACACTACCACTGAGGCCTTTATATATAAATATATTGTAATTAGTTACTACACAGTACTGTCCATTCATGTTATAGGTCACCCTTATGTCTGGTGTCACCCTTTGGTAAGCTTTACTGCGCAGGAAATTGAAGTGGCTAGCTTCTTTGTTTCACGGGTTGCACGGCTCTGCAATACACCAATAGTTGACATAGATTCAGTTGTTTCTTATGGATGCTGTCTTCCAGATAACCTACTGAATGGACAGCAACCAATTTATAAAATAGTGCTGTGTCAGGATGTAGTATTGGTACCCAGACACTGAACAAGATCGTTTTGAATAACGTGTGCCTTAGTTAGGATGCAGTGTTACTGACCCAAATTATGCCTGGTACTAACAGGCAAGGTGTTTACCCAATTTGTAGTTAGTATGTAACTTTTTGTTTGTTTACCACTTTTTTTCTTGCCTTCATGTTGTTTGCTGCCATTTGTTTGTTGATTTTTACCTGTGTATTGGTTAAACAGTTTAGCAAGGTTATGCACATTGTAAATGTTGTACAGCAATATTACAATACAGCAATAAGACAACAGTACAACAATAATACAGCAGTACAGCAATAATACAGTTGTTTTTACATAGTACCCAAGTTGAAATTAAATGATGGCTTATTTTGGTCCAGCTAGTGGTTTTTTAGCTGATTGTTAAGTTAATTGTCCATATATGGTAGATAGAGGTGTATTTGACCAGTCTCTTATTTATAAAGCTCTTCATTTTTCTTTTCTTGATGCTTGTGGGTTTCTTTACTATATACTGATATCATCTGGTATTTTTGTGGCGTGATGTCTTCTGGTGTCTTTAGTCTGTGGGATGCAACTCAAACAACTTTTGTTAGTAAACAGAGTAAAGTTTTTGTTTTTTGTTTTTGTTTTTGTTTTCAGTAACTCAAACTTAATACACAGTTTAACTTAGTTTGTTTACAATGTAATAAGAACAAGGTAATAGGGACCGAGCCTTTTATAACACAAGCTATACTTTTGCAATTGTTGTATAGACATTCTTTTTCATTTGATGTGCATTACTAATATTTTTATACAAAATGTAATGCTTAACAGCTAAAATAAATGCTCACAATCTTCCATAAGAAGGTGTATTTCTTTCCCTTGCTGAACAATTTGTTTCAGCAAAGGAGTTAACAGAATTTTTACCAAGCTTTTTAGAGTTAATTTGCTTGTGATACCAATTTCACTTTTGTTAACTGTTTAGATGCACAAACTTTAACAACCATTGCTTCCCATTAACATAACATAACAAAAGAAAAGCATATAAAATTAAACCAACTATAAAATTAAACAAAAATAAATTTTAAATACAGTACTTTGAGGGTATTTGAGGGTATACTTTCATGATGCTTTGTTATGTTTGGGAGCCAAAGGTGGAAACCTATTCAAATTGTTTGGTTAGCTTTATGCATAAATTGTTATTTTAAAACATTTTGGTTATGATATTTTTATAACTATATTTAAAAGCCCAAACAAGAAATTAACATTTTATTAATATTATCTTTACCTTAATGTTGAGGTTTCCCCTTACATTTTTTCTTTGAATAACAAATAAAAAAAATCTTAAAAAAAACAAAACAAAACTGTGATTGATAAGAGAATATTTTTTGTTTGCAATTGCATTATTTGTTGAGGCAGAAATATATGTACATATATTTGTAACTGAAACCTTTTTGAACTTTGCACAAAAAATTGGTGCTAATACTACTATGATTATACCCCAACCATGATCTTAAAATAGTGCGGTACCACATATACATAAATTTTTAAAAGGGTATAAATTAACTTTTGTTGCAACAAAATAAAAATAATAAAAAATAGTCACGTGACACACACAACATACAACACAAGACAACACACATGACAAACTTACAATTAAAAACAAATGGCGCCAGAATTCTATTCATAACTATACAAAGTAAGGCAAATAAATAAATAAAAAGGGTTAAACGTTTGAATAACCAAATTATTTCCTTATTTAAAACTTGTAACATAAATTGGTAAAAAATATATTACTATTTGCCAAATGTATTGTATTAATTTGGTAACAAGGAATTTTGCATTACTTTATATTTAACATTATTTTAAAACTCTGCTATATGGAAATAAGAAACGCCCATGTTTCAAATATTTGTGAGTGGTTAGGATTAGAAGCAGAGTGTGCGTTTCTGTTGCTTGGCAACCATATCTTCAAGAAAGTTAGGAATAATTCCAGCTGTTGCATTCCTGAAGGGTTAAAATAATTAATTTACTGGATTTATTTAAAGTAAAGTTTTTACCTTGGGTTTTTTTTTGTTTGTTTCTTGTTTTATTCTGTTTTTAATTGCTGTATTATTTGGAGGTTTCTGTAAAAACTATAACTTTTAACTTTTAAAACAAAAAGAGAGAGCAGAATTGAGGAGAGGCTAGAGAAGGGGTGGGGGGTTGAAGAGCGACCTAGGAAGGTAGCGAGACTTGAGCCAAGAGAGATTAACTCTATCAAGATATTTGAAAGTACAGGCAGCAGCAGCAGCAAATTTAGCAAACTAAGAAAACATATAAAGAACAAAACTTAACCGGTATGTAAAAATATTTGAGAAAGACAGTTCTATTTTCAGATATGAGCGCCGAGTGTGGTTCCGTGGGTCAAAGCAGTTGGGAACCTGCACAGTTAGGAACTGTGCCCCTGTTTTTTATCCTGGCTTTGAGAGGAGAATGGGGGTAGTTACCTGCTCTTGTAAAACCTGCATTTGTTCCCCCAATGTCTGTTGCTTTTGTGTGCATGCCAAATGGATGGCGGGAGTGCCCTTTTTTGCTGCAGTTAACTGGTTTTGGGCAACTCCATGTGTTAATGCATCAATTTTAGGTGTTAACCCATTTAATTTTGGTTTTTTACTTTGAAATTATTTTTTATTTACTCCCCTGCAATTGACTTTACCAATTTGATTTACCAATTCTGTGAAAGTATTATGTGCTACTCTTTCCTTCTGTGCACTTACTTGTCCCGTTCTGACAGGCACCAGTCTAGGTCTCAGTTTAAGTTTAACTGGAACCTGGCTTTTATCATAAGGTGGTGGTTGCAATGCAGTGAACCCCGTTTCATCTTTTAATTTTACTAGGACCAACTTTTTCCATTTCTGTCCCCATTCTTCAGGCACAGGGTAGCTACCTGAAGCCTGCTGTTTACCACCAATATTTATTACAGGGGACGGCACTTTTTGCTTCTGCAGGTTTTCTACAGGTGTTTCCAATTTTTTATTTTCCTGCTTCACTTGCTCGAGCATATTATGAGTTTGGACGGCCTGTTGCTCTGCTAACAGAGCTTGGGCTTTCCAGTGCTCGACTGCCCGGGTTACCTCTTCTACTTCTCCTGTTTTTTCTATGACTTGTTTGGCCAGCATGCCAGCATGCTGTCTGAGCCATAGACATGAGTTGCAAAATTCTTACTTTTTTACTCTTATTACTGTTTCTCAGAGCCTCGGTTTCTACCATCGCTCTGCATATGCCAGGCCATCTTTCCCCACTCTCTTTTTAAAATTCATATGGACCCCCTTACTGGCAATCCAACGGGTCCACGAGTTATCAAACTCCGTGGGGATCATAAGGGAGGGGATCGAGGGTTCCCTAGCTCAAGGTTTTCTGCCATGTTAGATCGCGGTTCCTACAGCGGACAGCTCGCTTACTTACCAGATCAGTGGTCGGGGTCACCAGTGTTGTCAGATGCTACCGGTGTGGTGCTCTGCTTTCTCCTTTGTTGATATCACTCGGCTGCGTGCGTGTGTTCCCTCTGTGTGCTGCCCCAGCTCTGCGCAGATAGCTGACCCAGCAGACCCGAAGAGAACCCCAAATAACCACAGAGTCTAGTAAGGTACGAAGGCACCTCGGCCAGGTTTATTGCGACCTCGGACACAGTTGCAGTTCCCCGTAGATTACTTAGTCTACCAGGCATACTACGAGAAAGTGCCTCTTGGCAATGGACTCAGCTCAGTCAGTGGCGGGACTTTCCACTGCCCCCTCGGCTGGACAAAGACACCACCCCAGGGATACAGTCTTATACACAGGTACAAACAAGTTACACATCACTCCTGACGTATTGAGGTGCAACCCCTCTACGTAGCAAGGTGCCGCCTCTCACCTTGTACATGTTGGTCCGATCAAAACAACTCTATCCATCATTTTACGCTTTTGCCCCGTCATTGGGATGGGTCAGCCTGTTCCCTGTTATCTGTGGAATGTTCCAGTATAGTGTATGTTCTGATATTTGGTGTCCAGTACCTTTTAGGTATGTCTCTTTTTGCAGCATCAGCCCTTTCCTTGCCAGCTTCTGTGAGCAGGGCCTGCCTCTGGCTCACAGCTTAACTTTGCTTTATGTTAGCAAAGTCTTGACCATTTCTTTAGGTTCGGGCCTTAGGCCTCATACCGGGCTTCTGATACCAAGGTTTATATCTCAGGGCCTCCTCTTACTACAGTTTGCTTACAGGGAATGAGTCAATCAAGGGAGCGGGTTTTCAACAAACAGAACTTTCACACCGTAGCCTGGCCAGTCATGAAACTGGTTTTCAAAGCTTCTCTGATGCGCAGCACTTCCTGGTGTGATCTTCTAATCGCCCTGGTGTCTGGCTGCGCATAATCAGCAGCCAGGCGATTTGCCTCAGCCTCCCACCCCGCCATAAAGGTCTCCCCCTTACTCTCACAGAGATTGGGAGCACATAGCCAGCAGCAATAACAATGGGGATATTGGTTTGGCTGAGGTCTGACCGAGTCAGTAACGATCGCCAGTGACCTTTTAAACGGCCAAATGCACATTCTACCATCATTCTGCACTTGCTTAGCCTGTAGTTGAACAGCTCCTGACTCCTGTCAAGGCTGCCTGTGTATGGCTTCATGAGCCATGGCATTAAGGGGTAGGCTGGGTCCCCAAGGATAACTATAGGCATTTCAACATCCCCAATGGTTATTTTCTGGTCCAGGAAGTAAGTCCCTTGCTGCAGCCGTTTAAAAAAAGTAGTGTTCCTGAAGACGCGAGCGTCATGAACCCTTCCCGGCCAGCCCACGTTGATGTTGGTGAAACGTCCCTTGTGATCCACAAGTGCTTGCAGCACCATTGAAAAGTACCCCTTGCGGTTTATGTACTGGGTACCCTGGTGCTCCAGTGCCAAGATAGGGATATTGGTTCCATCTATCGCCCCAGCACAGTTAGGGAATCCCATTGCAGCAAAGCCATCCACTATGACCTGCACATTTCCCAGAGTCACTACCTTTCATAGCAGCAGCTCAGTGATTGCTTTGGCTACTTGCATCACAGCAGCCCCCACAGTAGATTTACCCATTCCAAATTGATTCCCGACTGACCGGTAGCTGTCTGGTGTTGCACGCTTCCACGGGGCTATCGCCACTCACTTCTCAACTGTGAGGGCTGCTCTCATCTTGGTATTCTGGCGCTTCGGGGCAGGGGAAAGCAAGTCACAAAGTTCCATGAAAGTGCCCTTATGCATGCGAAAGTTTCTCAGCCACTGGGAATCGTCCCACACCTACAACACTATGCGGTCCCACCAGTCTGTGCTTGTTTCCCGGGCCCAGAATTGGCGTTCCACAGCTATAACCTGCCCCATTAACAGCATGATCTCCAAAGCACCGGGGCCCGCGGTTTGATAGAATTCCATGTCCATGTCCTCATCACTCTTGCTGCCGCGCTGCTGTAGCCTACTCCTCACCGCCTGGTTTTGCAGGTTCTGGTTCAGCATAAACTGCACGATAATGCGCGAGGTGTTTACAATGTTCATGACTGCTGTCTTGAGCTGAGTGGGCTCCATGCTTGCCATGGTATGGCGTCTGCACTCTTCACCCAGGAAAAAGGCGCGAAACGGTTGTCTGCCGTTGCTTCCCTGGAGAGGGGGGAGGATGTACCCAGAACCACCCGCGACAATGTTTTTGGCCCCATCAGGCATTGGGATCTCAACCCAGAATTCCAATGGGCGGAAGAGACTGAGGGGACTATGAGATAGCTATGGGATAGCTACCCACAGTGCAACGCTCCGGAAATCAACGCTAGCCCCAGTACATGGACGCATACCGCCGAATTAATGTGCTTAGTATTGCCGCATACATTTGACTTTATACAATCTGTTTCCAAAATTCGAATTATATAAATTCGGATTAATCCCGTAGTGTAGACATACCCTTAGAATAGGTGTACATTTATCAAATGATTTGAGGAACAAGCATATTACCATAAGCCGATCCTACAATGGGCTCAGCATCCCCTCTGAGGGTGCTATGTCCATTCCTCTCCCTAGCAGTGTTATTGGGATAACTCAGGGACTGCTCAGAACCGTTCAGTATTGGGACCTGTGACTGTTCCATCAATAGCCACCCTCATATTTTTAAGGTGGAACAGAAAAAGAAAAAGTGTTTCCACTGAACTCAGTGGAGGTATGATTTACACCACCTGCGATTTGGCCCATGATTAAGAATTTATTTTTCTGATGTAGCTAAAACACCAGCAGTTATCATAGAGTTCAAGCTGTATGCAGCTGAAGAAAAATGTACTGAGAAGGGAATTATTGTCTTCATTTTTAACCTGGTAATCTAATGGCTCTAATTAAAATTAAAAGAGGGGCTTTCCTGCACCAGCATGGACCTATATAGTTCCCCCTCTCTTCCGGTCACCGGGGGCTGACTTGGTTTGCATCTGCAGCAGAAAGTCGCTTCTGGGCTCTCTAGCCCTTAAAGGGGCACACACCTTTTCCAACAAGCCAGACAACAGCCTCAACCACCTAATGTGTGGTGAGGTCATTAGGATGGTGGTGGTGGGGTGGAATCTCTTCACTGTTCCAATTGATTGACACAATTTGGAAAGAATATCTTTTCAGAGATAAAAAGTGATTCATTTTGAGTTTGATGTGTAGCAAAGTGCATCAAACCAACAATTTTTTTATTTTATTTTTTATTTTGCCAACCAACAGTTCAGAACTCCTCATTTCTTCCAGTGTATATACCAGTTACACCCACCTCTCTTACGACATCCTGAAAAGAGAATTGTCTTTGGATTTGTATTAGATACTTATATAATAAGGTATGAGAGCTGACTGATTTCTCTCTTTTCAGAGGGACGTGTGTAAATCTGAATTTTGAAGGTTTTTTATTTGACACCTTTGATATAATTACTATCTTGTTTAAATTTCACTGTACTATTGCCTGAGGTAAATGCAGTAGAAAATCACCATGTTCAATGTAACATTCTGATATTCACATCCCCCCTGTCAAAATGAAACCTTTTCTTAAGACTACAGGGGAATTTTTTATTTTATTTGCGTGTTCATTTTTAATGTGGATAGCTAATATGCTGGATATCTATTTTCAGATGCAGAATACAAATGGTGCCAGTTGGTCATGATTATGATGCACCTATATGCTTTTTGTTGTTGATTACTTTTGACATTGCACAGTGATAAAAATGACAAATAATAAATAAATAATATATCATTGCTTTTTAACCTACATTTGGTATTTAAATCAGCTGCTGTTAGTTTTAACTCAGATTCTCCACACTTCCCAGTTCCCAGTTCAGCAAAACAATGAAGTACATACTTAACTTTAAGTCTTGACTTCAGAGAAACTTAACCACATGCTTGAGTGCTCTGTCATAGACATAGCCGTGACTTCCAAAGCAAGTTCTATGTTATGTAAGTATTCCTTCACTCTCAGAATTTCTCTGTTCCTCAGTGAAGGCATGGAGAAGGTTCTTAATTGGCCCTAGCTCTCCAGAAATTTATTTCCTTCTATTCTGTTTGAGCCAGAGCCTGATACCCTTATTCATGCTGAGTAGTATTGTTGTGATAATAGGGCCTACAAATTTACTCTAATGGTTAGCTCAACTGTAAAAAGTATGTGAAAGTTCATAAAATGTCATAATAACAAATGTTGATGGGGAAAAGGTTCGAAAAGAAGACAGAAATACTGAATTAGTCTAAACAAAAAGGTCTACTGATATAACTTAAGGACTGGGTTAAGATCACGCTTAATAAACAAGAAAGTGTGTGTCTGGAAATCAGCAAACCAAAATTGGTGTGTCAGAAGCTAAGCCTAAGTGGTGGACAAAATAATGAGGGGATGGGCTATTCCATCACTTCCATCTTTCCCTTTTATGGGTCCTTAAAGAAATATAGAAAGAACAGATGGAGGCTACTGAAGCAAGCTTCACTGTCATTGCTACCAGCCTCACCATCTCCTGGGACCCCTTGCCTTCTTCATCCTAATCCTGAGAGATGTCCTGACCAAATCAGGCCAGAGAGAGGCACCCAGATAACATCATCACCTCTACCAGTTCCACCTGAATCCCAATCACCACCTTGGATGAAATGGAAATGGACTTTAACAACAACAGCTCCAGTCTATCTAAACTAACTTCTTCTCTTCTTCCCCTCCCCAAAAGACAGTTATTACCATCTTTGATACCATCTAAGAGACTGTCAAACATGGGGGTTTTCCTTCTAAAAACTCTTCCCAGCTAACTGGAAAGGGAACAAGGGATATTGTAAAAATGAAAGTCTTATTTAATACTTTACATTTAAAATGCTTTAACTGTTTTTTTTCCTTCTTTTCTTTATCTTAAATAAAAGGTTAAAAAGATTTTAATGGTATGTTTGCCATGGTATTAAGCAGACTGAAGTCTCTGTATACCAAACTCCATATCTTCTTTAACACTGTTTGATGGTGGACAGTGACTGGGTTATGTTAACACC